CAAGTGACTGGGAAATACTGATATAGTAAGTGAATAATGAATGCTCAAGAGGGAGCAATTACTTTGGTCAAGATCAGCAGTCATGAGACAAAGCCACAGAGGAAAAGGGACTTGAGCCAGAAATTAAAGACTTGTGAAGGAGTAAAAGAAGACAGCAACACATACTTTAAACACCAACTAGAGGCCAGACAATATGAACTATCATTGCTCTCAGTCCTCACAATAATCCTAATGGATATTACTAGCAGTATTTTACATATGTAAAAGACACTCTTGCCCTTGGATTGCACAGCTATCTGGTTCCAAATTTATGTTGTTTCCCTTGTTTTCTGGTTCCTAATCTAAACAAAGGCAGGGAGGCAGGAATATGTAAGGTACAGCTGAGAAGAAGCAAGGTACAGGTATGGTAGGGTTGGCCTAGGGAGGTCCTTGATTGTGTCAGTCTGTTGTGGGCAGAGCCAGTCTTACAGTCCTCTGATTCCCCATAGCACCAAGCAGAAAGCAAAGCCAAAACAAGCATTCAATACATGGTTACTGTTTAGCAACTGGAGATGGGCAAACAGTATCTAGAAGGAAATATTAAAGGAACTAGGGTAACAGATAAACCAGCAGAAGGCATTTGTACTATATTATCTCAGTGACTAGTTTGATAATAAGTTACAAGCTTTTCCTCTAGAAAAAGAATAAGAGACTTACAATGTTGGATAAGAAAGATAAGGAAGATTAGAGAAAAGGAAGAATAAATACTGGGAGGGGTTGTTAGACAAGAACAGATTTCTATCTACTGAAATGGTTTAGTTATATTCCTGACTAGGGGAAGAGTCTAAATAGGCTAGAGATATTAATCAACATAATTAAAAAAATCTAAATCCATGATCTAAATAGATAATCTGTTATATAGACCAACCTTTTCTGGGTGTGGAAAAACTGCAGGATTTTCAGCCTTAGGCCCTAGAAGATAACAACATATGTTTACATTCCAGTTTTATTAAAGCACTAAAAACATACCCTCTCACTCGGCATTTTGTAATCACATACCTTGAAATGACTCCCACAAACATTCAAATATTTCACAAATATTATAGCAATTTATTAATATAAAAGAATCATTATGTTGGCAACGAAGTTAGAAAAGAAAAATTTTCCGTTTCTTAAAAAAAAAAACTTTATATGAAGCCAAGTAAAATTATAATTATTTGGAATTAGTTTGGCTAAAAATCAGCCATTCTATTTTGACTGAGTTATTTATTCTAAGTATTTGTAACTACATGAAGAAAAGATATCTACTTTCTCAGTATCATTATCTCTTCCTTTATAGGTAATAAAATTCATGCTGTCAAGCTAGACATGAAAAGGCATGCCCCATGTGGGGGCTGAAAGGAGTAAGGAGATTGTCCTAAATGTGATTTCACCTTCACCATCTCCTCCTCACCCTGCCATGTCCAAGGGGAGCTGGCTGACAGCAATTCATATCAAGACAAAGGATGTTTCTCCTGCTCCATTCCTCTCGCCTCCCACCTTCACCATCAAGGCCCAGGCCCTCTCACATACTTAGGCAGGAATTCAGAGCTCACTGGAATTTCAAGCATATGTTTCAGTCATTCTCTTGGTTTCTTTTGATTAGGCAATATCTAGAGCTAGAGTATAAGCAACTGCTGAACCTCAGATTGCATCCTCACAAGCAAGACAGGTTTTTCAGGGAAAAAAATAAGCATCAATATGCTTACGAAACTTTCCATACAGCAAAAACCTACGTTTTTTGGCTCCACCTTTGCCATTTGATGATGAAAAGCTTTGAAAATCAGCTATGAGGGTTAATATCATGGCATTCCATGCCCTCACAGGATAAGCAAAAATTAATAGGAATAAATCATTTATTCTTGTATTAGAGTCCTCTGTGCCAAGCAATAATGATATATTACACTATCTAAATCTTACTTAAAATTTTATATATCTGGTTGCTTAAAATGTAATACCAATGAAAGGAACATTTTACACCAATAGATACAGTGGCTGTTGGCCACCACCACCCTGAGGAGCCACCCGCCTAGACACTGTTGGGGGCCGCTGCCCAGGTCCTGGGAAGTTCTGTATTGTTTAACAATCATGGGCTCCCAAGTACAGCAGCAACAAAGGAATCTCACTACATGAATCCATGAGCATAGAATTATTGCAAAAAGCTGGAGTTGCCACTCCCGAAGGACATGTGGCTAAATCACCAGATGAAGCTTAGGAAATTGCCAAAAAATTAGGTTCAAAAGATGTTGTGATAAAGGCACAGATTTAGCTAGTGGTAGAGGAAAAGAAACATTTGAAAGTGGCCTCAAAGGAAGAGTGAAGATAGTTTTCTCTCCAGAGGAAGTAGAAGTTGTTTCCTACAAGTGACTGGGAAAAAGTTGTTTGCCAAGCAAACAGGAGAAAACGGCAGAATTTGCGAACAAGTGAACACGGAAGTTATCTCGGGAGAGAACACTACTTTGCGATAACAATGGAGAGGTAATTTCAAGGTCCTGTATTAACAGGAAGTTCTCAAAGTGGTGCCAACATTGAAGCTGCTGCTGCAGAGGCTCCTGAGGCCACAGTTAAAGAACCTACTGATATTGTAGAAGGCATTGAAAAGGAACAAGCTGTCTGGTTTGCACAAGACGGGAGTTCCACTTAATGTGGTGGATTCTGTGGCAGAAACCATGGTCAAGCTTTACAACCTATTTCTGAAATATGTTGCAACCATGGTAGAAATAAACCCAATGAGGGCCGGCTGAGTGGCTCAGTTGGTTAAGAGCTTGCTCAAGAGTTTGAGCTCTGAGCAACAGCGGTTAGATTCCTGGCCCGAGCTGAGCAGCCGCTGAGCTGCCAACCGGTGGCAGGATGGCTCAGCTTAAAATAAATAAATAAAATAAACCCAATGATAGAGGATTCAGATGGAGCTGTGCTGTGTATGGATGCAAAGATCAATTTTGATTCTAATTCCGCTTAGTGCCAGGAAAAAAATCTTTGACCTACAGGACTGGACCCAGGAAGATAAAACACACAAAGATGCAGCCAAGGCAGATCTCAACTACACTGGCCTAGATGGGAGTGTAGGCTGCCTCGTAAATAATGCTGGTTTGGCTATAGCCATAGTGGACGTAACAAAACTTCATGGAGGGACTCGGCCAACATTCTTGATGTTGGTGGTGGTGCCACAGTCCATCAAGTAACAGAAGCATTTAAACTTATCACTTCATATAAAAAGGTGCTGACTATTCTGGTCAACATTTTTGGAGGAATTGTGGGGTGTGATGTTATTGCACAGGCTACAGTCATGGCAGTAAAGGATTTGGAAGTTAAAATACCTATTGTGGTATGCTTACAAGGTACACAAGTTGATGATGCTAAGGCACTGATAATGAACACTGGACTTAAAATTCTTGCTTGTGATGACTTGGATGAAGCTGCTAAAATGGTTGTAAAGCTCTCTGAAAGAGCAATCTTAGCCAAGCAAGCCCAGGTGGATATAAAATTTCAGTTGCCAATCTGATCTGAGAACTTAGTGGATGGCTGAAGGTGTTAAATGTACTGTAATTGTTAAAAATACTGTGTTCTGTATTTTTATTGTTCCTTTGTTCTTTAGTGTTTGAAGATTGTAAATGCCATCTAGGCACAAAAACCTTTTAAAGCATTTGGTCTGCATTTAATTCAAGTTTTGAGAATAGGCTGTTTGTATAAAGAATGTGTAATGCAATTATCTTGTTTCTTTTGTTGCAGCCTTCTCTCTTTCACTTCTACAGAATGTCAATTGCAATATGCCAGTTTATTATTGTTGGGTACAACATCCTTGATTGATATGAGTCCTATGAATAAAATAAATATGAAGATAAAGCTTTATTATTTATTATTAGAAATATATCTAATAACTAGCTTCATTAGTAGAGCAATGTATTAAAACAATGTTTTATAGAAGTGTTTATCTTCAACACCAAATACCTAACTAAATATATCATCACTACTTATAAACAGAGATTTCAAATACTCCCCAGAATATTCCTTCAAGTACTTTAGTGCTGTAACTTGTTAATTATTTGAACATTGTTTTAATCATTACAAAACACTGATAACTGCAAGTCTTCATGATCCTGTGGTATCGAGAAGAACCTGTAGGTCTCTATCAAAAAAGGTATATTTACTAAGGACTTGGCAGCAAAATTAACAATGTCAATTTGAGTTAATAAAAATCTCCCAATGTGAAAAAAATAGATACATCTTCAATATCTTTACAAGGAGATTTTTGTTTTTAATAAACTCTCAGGTCCATAGGGGTTAGAGTTCAAAAACAGAGAAAAATATTTCATCCTCTTCCTCCTCTGAAGTGTAAAGAAAGAACCCTCAAAGACATCTTCTTCTATGTTTTAACCACCTCATCATCAAAGTGATCATTATTTTGTGCCAACAATTACTATTTTTAAAACTTGATAAATATAATGAAATATATTCTAGTAATTTGATTACTATATTAAAAACACACTTAAGAGGAATTCTCATTTTCTAGCTTCAAAATTTACTTGAAACAATTTTTACAAATAAAAACTTTTTTTCTTGAATTCTTATCTCTCCTTAAGTAAATTATCAAAATATTTTGTATATTTTCTACTTATCAATTGAAAGAGATAAAATGTAATGTATGAGAAATCATTCTAAAGTGCCAAATGAAAATAAAATGCTCAGAAGAGCTGAATTTTAAATCATAAACTATTTTAAGGTCAATGTTATCATATTTACTAAAGATCGTTTATTTATTTTGCTCATTCTCCAATTTGGTTAGAATTACTCTTTGAATTGCGAGGGAGAAGATAGGATTGTATTAGAACGGAGTCCACTATAACTAGCTAACAATTTAACAGTTTCCTTATATATAATTTAACCTATAGTTTAGGATGATAATACAATGAGCTTCTTGTTCTGAACACTCTGAAGGAGTAAAGGCAAGAGGGAGCTTCAGTGAATTGCCAGAAGGGAAGGGTATTACCAGTTCTATGGGTCTCTAGTCACAGAAGCTTCCTGACAACAAGAAACACCACGAAGTTTTAATTCTGGTGCCCACGGCACTTTTAAAGAAACCAGTAAAAGACTTGTGACTCTGAAGTTCAATGAGGGTGGTGGCGAGTGCACAGATACCAACAGCATCATAAGGCATTAACGGCGCTCAGAAGGCCAAATGGGGGGAGGTTGGAAGTACGGGAAATTCAGGACATAGTGGAACCCTGTTTTTCTATAAATACTGGGATTGAGTATGAGAAAAATGAAACTAGATATTTTGTCTAACTATTGCTGACACCTGTTATCACGGTCAAAACCCAAAAGAGAAAAAGGAATCCCCAAGGCATGCTATCACCATGACACCTCTCTCTCAAATTGTTCAAGTCATACTTACAAAACAAGGACTTCAACCGCTAAGATGGTATCTCTATAGCTTTATGACTGTTTCAGTCTATCTATAAACTGTATCTTGTAAAAGATGCTAAACAGCTTTTCATCACACTTGGAGGGTATGTTTGGCATAGTTTGAATTATATTAGGCTACTTGTTGTTAACGTGACATCTTAAAAACCACAAAGGCTTTTTATACTTGGAAAGAAACTTCCATTACTATTTGTTTTTACAGTTGTTTAATGATCAATTTATTAAACTTCTAGATCTAACATGAAAATTTGAAAACTACTGTTTCTTTAACATTTAAACATTAATTACAAACTTAAATTCCCTTAAATAATTTAAACTACAAATTTAACTTTTTTAAACTACTTCAAACATATTAGATGTTAGACAAAACACACATGAATACAATGGTTATAAAACTCATTACTGCTCTTAACCGAATTCTAAAATAACAATACATGGTGCAATTTGTTCTACATTTTTTCTATTCTTGTTGCTACACCTTCTTAAGATTAAAGTCATACTTATTTTGGTGCCTCCCCAGGGATACAGGAATTGTATCAGATCCAAAAGAAAACAAGTAGCTTCTTTGACCAGCCAATGTGGAAGAATCTCGGTTTTTGCCTAACTGATTTTTTGTTTGGGCATGGAACTGACTGTTTCTCCCAAGATGATTCAAAGCTGAGCAGCCGATTATCTGGCTTTACTTATAATAAGGAAATGCCTTAAACTACACAAAGGTTATTTTTTTATAACCTAATGTTCTGTCCAAGAATGGTACTTGGCCAGTGTTACAAAAACTTTTGGGTTATCATTATTCTATACTGACCTATCCAGTTAGCGTTATTGCAAACTTATGCCTGCTCTTTTAATATCTTATCATGATTAGAAGGGCCATCTAAGGCTTTAAACTCCTGATAGATGAGGGATTTAATCTATGCAGAAAGGTCTCCTTAATTGGATATCAAGTTAATCTGTCATCTTAATCTGGGACAAATTAGGCCCCACTTCTCACATGTTTTTATGGTGACTGCTGGTGCTGTGTGGTCTTTCCTTTCCTTGGTACAATTCTTATTCCAGGACTACATGACTTACAGTTCTGTTTTCTTTCTTTTCACTTACACATTGATAAACAAAAATATCCTATGCTTTATAAAAGATGTATTTAACAGAGAAAAAAATGCACATGTATTAATAAGTCTCTATATCTTATAATCATTAAAAGGTTTTAAACATTCTACTATAATCATTTTTCTTTTTATATTAAGACTACCTTTTGTACTTAACATTTTTTGAGTATCATTATGAATTCATTGCTTTTTCACAAACTTATTTCTACGAACTAAAATAACTGTTGGGTTTCCCCCATACCCCCACCCTGCATAATTTGTCCCAGCTTGACCAGTAAGAACACCACAGACCTAATTCTTTATCCTTTTAGCACTGTCCCCAGGCATCCTTGAAAGCATCTTTGCTTTCCAACAACAGTAGGATGTTTCAGACCCATCCTAATATCTTCATGCTCCAAGACAGATCAGCCATCCTTTAAGGATTCCTGGTTTATTTAGCATTCATACATCCATAGCACCCATATAGCTGGCACATAATAGGCTCAATAAATATTTGGTAAAATACAAACTTTAGGCACTGGGAGTGCATGCAAAAGTTGGTGATGGGCACAAGTAGTAATGCTGTAGTAGCAACAGAGCAGAAGAAAGAGCTTTTAAAATTTAACTTTTTCCATTTCAAGTTACCATGTCCTTGTGCCCTTTTATTATAATACTGGATTTCACTGGTCACTAAGAATATTTACTACCCTGTCTACAACATACATAATATTCACTCTGGAGGAGTCACTAGGAGACACCTCAGAGATAAAGACAACTATCCTCTAATATAGCTGACACCAAGTTAAATGGCCTGTGTGACTGCCTCTCAAGAAAGACATAACATACTTATTAAGAATGCTAAGAATGGAGAAAACAAACATTGTTTTCAAATTTGAATCCCAAAATTACATGTGAAAACAGTAGACATTTGGAGTAGCAGGTACTGACTGCACCTGAGCTGCTTCTCATACGTGTAACTATATGTAGCACGATACAAGGTCAACAGCAACATTGATTTCATATGTAAAAACATATGTAGCACTGTATAGTAGATGGATTCAGTTGTAAATGAATCCATATCTAACTAAGGCTTCTATTTTCAGGCTAAGACAAATTTACTCTGTATGTCTCTACCCATGAAAACATACCTTGAATGCTTTGGTGTTTCAGTGAAAGTTCAGCTTGGGGAAATGACACAGTGAACATTGGACTTTTTCTGGTCCTAAAACAGAATTAATAAAGACACACATATAAATTTTAAAATGGAAAAAAAAAACATTTTCTCATTGAAATACAAATTTAAACATTTTTCTTCATTTAAAGGAATTTCAAAATAGGGCAAGCTGTTTTTTGGGCTACATCATTCCAACCATTACTACCAATTAGTTAAATTAACATTTCAAGTGGTTGCAAAAAGGAAGGAGAGAGCTGAAAAATTAAAGTATGAGCTTTAGGAGTGTAAACAAACTGAATTATATTTAAGTCTGAAATTAACTTTGGAGATGACTGCCAAATAGGGGTGGTGGGTCAGGGAAAAAATTTGGTCCTGAACTATGTAGCTTGGCTATCTAAATTCTCAAATACACTGAAAGTTTGTCATTATAGTTTTAAATGTAAATAAAAGTCACTAATGAGAAAATTCTCAGACATTATTTATGATTTTTGTAGTAGGCAAAGAAAAATAGGTAATACTGAATGGAAGAGGTTGAAAGCAAAATAAGGGTCATGCCTAATCTGCAATTTTGATCAACTGCCCTGGGATAATTAGAAGTGGACTGAAGAAAAGCAATCAGTTAACTTTTTTTTTCCCGCAATCTAATTTACTGCACAAATGCAATCAAGATACCTTCCTTTTAAAAAAGACTCTAGTTTCAGCTGTTTTAAGAGTAGTTTTTATACACCAGGCATATCTACTTGAATCCTAAGCAAGAATAATAAATTGAACATCCTCCCCTGTCTAAAACAGAAGTGATCAATATATGCTATCTTGAAAATGAAAATAAAACTACTCATAGAATAATTTCTATAAGGCAAATGGAAAAGCATGTTGATTATTTTCCCCCTAAAATGTGATTCTTTGAGAAGACCAAGTTGATTGACAACAAAATAAAATCATAGTTTGCATGAATAACAGAATTTTTTCCTTGATTACAAAAGAGAATTTAAGACATAAGTCTGAAAATAGAGCAAAATGGTATCTAAATTATTTTAAAAAGTTATTTATATTAGGCAAGACTGCAAACAATGTAATGTCCAATAGTAGGGGAATGATTAAATAAATTATAGTACAGTTAAGTTATACAGTGAAACATTATGAGGCCATTAAAATTCATGTTTATAAAAATATTAATGAGGGCCAGCCAAGTGGCGCGTTGGTTAAGAGCTGGCTTGGGACGCCAGCGGGCCCCAGTTCGGATTCCACATATGAGGGCCAGTGACACTGGCCTCCACAGCTAAGATGCTTAACAACAGCTCAACCTGGAGCTGGGCTGCTGTGAGTTGCCGGCGACAGCGTAGGCTGCAGCCTCTGCTGCAGTGGGTTGCCATGGGCTACCGTGTGTAGCCAGCAGCCAGCGTGAGGGGCCAGCAGCCACAGTGAGCGGCCGTCCAGAAACCGGCGACTGATCTGCCTCGCCCGGGAAGAGCGCAATGATGGTGCCAACTTGGGCCAGTGAAGCAACGTCCTCCACAACTAGACTGAAGAAGGACAGCAACTTGTCTGTTCCCCTTCCCCCAATTCCCCAGCGCTGTTCCCATCCTCCAATTCCCCAATAAAAATCTTTAAAAATAAATAAATAAATAAAAATAACAGTAACATGTTAATATATTTTTATGAAAAACTTGTATTTTCCAAAATGAAAAAATTAGTAATAAAAATGGCATTGTTTACATTTTTAAAAATCTCTTTAATGTATGGCTTAATAGAAGACAGCTGCCATTTCATATCTGCTACTGCATTCAATCTTTTGCCATACATTGCTTTGTTTGAAGTACATAACAAAAATCTGGCTTCATACAGATACTACAGTTGGAAAAGGAAGGAGTATTTTAGTAGAGTTTTTGGATACTTGTGGATATTACTTTTTGCTATCACACCAAAACTCTAAAAGCAATAACTTCCTTAAAGGTTACTGGAAATGTAGAAACTAAAATAAAATCAATGAACTTTTTATTCTGTTACATTATAACCCATTGGTCTATCTTGCATTTTGAATGGATGTATTATCTGTGCCTTATTTTGTGATGTCATGCATTGGTTTTTTAGAAAATACTGATGGAGTTATGTAGATCTTAGACCGATATACCTCATTATAAAACATCAAAAAGATCACCTTTGTAAATATTACCACTGACCTCACCAGAAAATTTTAAGTATTGGAAAGCAATCAAGGCCAAGGTGGAAGACACAAGTTTTCCTAAATTCTAATTTTCACTTGAAAGTTTGAATTTTTTTCTTTGGCAATAAATATCATCTGCTATATTCATTGAAGTGACTGGCTTTACTTCATTCATTTTCAAGAAAATATCTGCCCAAGTGTGAATGAATAACCAGTCTGTCAGTTATTCTTTTTTTTTTTTAGGCTTTTTTTTAATTTAATTTTTTAAATTAAAGTTTATTGGGATGACAATAGTTAGTAAAGTTACATAGGTCTCAGGTGTACAATTCTGTAATACATCATCCATATATCACATTGTGTGTTATTCTTTCTAGTTAAAAAAGAAAAAGTGAGGCTAGTTTTCTTACAATGCTTACAACTCAAACAAGTGCACAAGTGCTCTCAAGACAACTACCACACTTCAGTATGCACAGAAGTACTTTAAGCTTCTTCAAACTTCTTTAATACTTCAAACTTCATCACTCAGAATATAAAAAGATATATATTTAGTGGTAAAGATGTAATAAAACAAATAACTTTTCTGCTTCATCAAATGCATTAAAGTGAAATGCATTTTTTTTTTAATTTTTTACTTCTAGTACATGGCAGTGAAAAACACGGTGACTACAAGTACCCTGATTCCTACTAAGGCTCCTGCATTTACCCACCATTTGCTTTAGTACTATAAGTGCAAATGTCAATACCATGAAATAGGTAATAATGTGTTGGTATTGTTATTAAAAACAGTTTTGACTTTACAGACCCTCTGGAAAGTGTCAGGGATTCCCAGGGGGTCCACAGAACCATACTTTGAGAACCACTCTTTTAAAAGAACTGAAAGGATCAAGTCTCCTAAAGTATAACAGTTATATGAAGTCTAATTTCAATAAGCTCTACAAACTCTTCCTTCATGCTATTTTATAAATTTGCTTTAAAAATATTAATACACAGAATCAACTTAATCTTATTCAATTTTTCTTATGAAATGAAACTTACCAAGAATGTTTATAAAATAACATATTTATGCTGCTAAAAGGGCAATTATTCAAAAACATACGATTCTACAACTCAAGAAAATGAAGATGTACAAAATGACAACTAAAAAATCTACAATATAATAAAGCCAAAAATTAGTATGCTTACTGTAACAGAGCTTGTTTTTGTTCCATTTCATCTTGAGGTTGCTAGGAAGGAAAACAGTAGTTTTTTCCATGATGAATGTTGTTAACTCAATGCAACAAACTAAAAATTTAACATTTAAGATAATTTTTATGTTATGCTTTCTTAGTGTCTTTTTTATCGTGTTGAAATATATATATCATAAAATTTACCATTTTAACCATTTTTAAGGTACAGATCTGTGGCATTATGTACATTCACAACCATCAATCACCATAACCCATCTCCAGGACTTTTTCATCTCCCCCAACAGAAACTCCACACCCATTAAACACTAACTGTGCATTCAGCCCTCTCCCAACCCTTGTCATCGGCCCTTCTACTTTCTGTCTCTAAGAATTTGACAACTCTAAATATCTCATATAAAAGAAACCATACTATATTTGCTCTTTTGTAACTGGCTTATTTCACTTAGTATGTCTTCAGGGTTCATCCGTATATCCATATGTCCTTCCTTTTTAAGGCTGAATAATATTGCTCCATAAGTACCACATTCTGCTTATCCACTCAACTATCAGTGGACAGACACTTTGGTTGGTTTCACCTTTTGGCTATTATGAATAATGCTTCTATTAATGCAGGCGAACAAATATATTTTCAAGCCCCTGCTTTCACTTATTTGGGGCATAAATCTAGAAGTGGAATTTCTGGATCATATGGTAATTCTATGTTTAATTTTTTGAGAAATCACCATACCATTTTCCATAGCAGCTGTTCCCCTTCTACATTACCCACCAGCAATGAACAAGAATTCCAATTTTTCCACATCCTCGACAATTATTATTTTGTGTTTTGATAACCGCCATCCTAATGAGTATGAGGTATTATCTCACTGGGGTTTTTGATGTGCATTTCCCTGAAGATTAATAATGTTGAACACCTTTTCATGTGCTTACTGGCCACTTGTATATCTTCGTTGGTAAAATGCCTATTCATGTCCTTTGCCCATTTTTAAATCAGGTTTTTTTGGTTGTTGTTGAGTTTTAAGAGTCTTTGTGTATTATGGGGATCAATCCCTTATCAGATCCAAATTCAATGTAAAGAAACATTTCCCCCCTATGTTTTCTTCTAAGAGTTTTATAGTTTTGGCTCTTTATTTAGTTTTTGTCTTAACTCCTTTTTAATAAAAGAATCTGTGGAATTTAAGTAAGAGAGTGTTCCTTCTTTTTATTCATAGTTTTTCTCTTCTCCTTGTTCATTAATCTATAATGGTTCTGATGAGCCACTCTTGTCAGATTCTGAGTTCCAGTACTTCCCCTGAGGGTCAGAAATTATAGCACCTTTGTGTTACAGTATTAAATGCTGAATGGATTCTGCCTGATTCTCAAGTCATGTCAGACAATGTAAAGTTATGCCCCTTTCGAAAAAGATAAAATACGCTGATAAAATGCTTCCATTTTAAGATTTCACTGCACACTAGCTTTCATCACTTCAAAAGGATAATCATTACCTTCAATATCTCATTAGCATCAAAGAAGACCTTTAGAAAAAGATTTCTCTTTGGGGGACTTCTATGTTTGTTTCTATGATGGGTAATAAAGCTTTCTGAAAATAAAGCCATTAGCCTGAACTTCCAAGCATTCTTTGATCAAGGAAACAGCCATAATAACAAGAAAACACAAAGTACTGTGAGAACTTCAATCTTCTCCAATTAATGTTCACTGTTATTTATTGATAATGTATCTTTACATACTTCAAGGTTATCACATTGGTTCCACATACATACTTCCCAAGCAGACCTTACAAAGCTACAGGCCCAGAAAGAAGACAGAATTTCAAGAAATAAACCTAGAAACTCCCAAAGATTAATTAAACAGGGTATACTTATATATTACTAGATATCTCTAAGTCTCCACAAAGCAATTCATTCAAATATTTATAATACCCACTTCATTTATCTTACTGTAGGACCAGTGACTTTTACTGTTGAAGGCTAATTATTTACTTGACCCCACCTACATACAGAAAAGGCAAAAGAAAGAAGTTTGCTTAAGAAAGTTTGCTCCTGGACAGCTGATTTTTTTTTTCTCCTGCATCAGCAGAATTACCACTCAAGAGCTAATGCCTCTGAATATAATGGGGGATGGAGTTATGTTAATTAACAAAATGCAAGGATACACTTCAATCAATTCTTTATTAAGGGGTCCAAACTGCTATCTATCCTTTTGATAAATATGACTGCCATTTTCCTTCTGCCCCTGCATCCCTATATTTTGACCAGGTCATTAAACTATCAAGTTTTTAAATTTTGTTTTGTTTTACATGTTGGGAGTAGGGTCTAAGAAGTGAAAGAGAGTTTAAATAAGTTGTGTTAATTTTAAGGATCTAGAAACTAGAAAAGGAACAAATCTATTTATATAGCCTTAGCCAAAAAAAAAAAAAAAAATCTCTGCTGTCTGAGATCAGTCTCTTAAACTGAGTCATGGATTAATGGGAGTGGAAGAAGGAAGAAGCCTGGTCAGCCAGATCAGCCTGCTGGTAATATCCACATGAATGAATTAATCATTATTCCCTGTTAAACAAGTATTTCCAGATGAAAAAAATCTGATTGTAGTAACACCAGGGATGCCTCCTATATTAATCAGGGTTCTCCTACATTAATCAGAGAAAGAGAACCAATAGGATATGCATATGCATATGTAAAGAGATTTATTATAAGGAATTGGCTTTAGGACTAGCAAGTCCAAATCTGCAATGTAGGCCATGAGGCTCAAGATCCAGGAAAGCTAATGGCAAAGAAGAAATCCAAAGGCTGTCTGCTGGAGAACCCTCTCTTGCATGGGAAGGCTGGTCTTTTTGTTCTATTCAGGCCTTCAACTGGTTGGATGAAGCCCACCCACATTATGAAGAGCAATCTGCTTTACTCAAATCCAATGATTTAAATGTTAATCTCATTCAAAAACATCCTCACAGAAACTGCCAGAATGATGTCTAACCAACTATCCGGGCACTACATGGCCCAGCCATCATGAAATAAAATGAACCATCACACCTCCTAATTTTGATACATACCAATGTCTCCAATTGTGCTCCAGACATATTACTAAACTCTCCAAACAAAATCAAAATTTTCCATGTAAAATTTAAAAACTGATTGCCAAAAAATATGTCAGCTAGAGATAAAATAAAACAGGTACTACATATATCAGTGGAAATAAGTGTTCAAATAAAAAAAATTAAAATTAAAAAATAAAACCTGCTTGCCACATAGTACCTGTAAAGAGTAAGGAAAGATACTGCAAGACTCAACTAAAATTATGAGTATATTTTTTTAAATGCTGCCTATTTTTAAAAATTACCATTGTGTACGAGTATGTAAAACTAAAGATCCTTTATTTCTACATAGTTTATTCTTACTTAAAACAGCCCATCATTTCTAAAACAGTCTGTTTTGAAGTTGAAATGTCAATATTGCATCTGAGTACTAAGAAAAAATGTGTTTAGAAATCTGTTTAGTAATTATTTAGAATTTATTAGAAAATAAGATTCAAGGTATAAAAATACATGTACATATATATGTACATGTATATGTGTATACACACACACACACACACAGTGTGCCAAAAAATGTATACACATTTTAAGAAAGGAAAAATCTGTATTAAAATTACACTGATGGTAATCACTTTGAGCACCTCTTGTAAATGTAGAAGTCAAACGTGACTTGTATTCATCTCTTGTTATTGGTATATATTATTACAATTTTAATACAGTTTTTTCCTTTCTTAAAATGTGTATACATGTTTTTGGCACCCTCTGTATATATAGCCTCTTTAAATAACTCTGGGAAAGAATCTTTCTGGTCTCTCCATTTCTATATTTGATAAAATCAATTTCTCTCATATAACCAAATTTCTAAAGGTTTATTTTCATAGAATAAAAGTAAAAATTGTGCAAGTAGCAATATGTGTCAATTTAAAAAATAATATCAATTAAAATTTACTACAGGTGGGGCCGGCCGAGTGGCGCGATGGTTAAGAACTCGCTTGGGATGCCAGAGGGCCCCGGTTCGGATCCCACATGTGAGGCCCAGTGACACTGCCCTCCACAGCTAAGATGCTGAACAACAGCTCAACCTGGAGCTGGGCTGCCATGAGTCGCCGGTGACGGCGTGGGCTGCAGTCCTGTGGCAGTGGATTGCAATGGGCTACCGTGTGTGGCCAGCAGCCAGCGTGAGCGGCCAGCAGCCGCCGTGAGCGGCCGTCCAGATGCCGGAGACTGATCTGCCTCGCCAGAGAAGAGCGCAATGATGGTGCCAACTTGGGCCAGTGAAGCAACGTCCTCCACAACTAGATTGAAGAACAAAACGACAGCAACTTGCCTGTTCCCCTTTCCCCAATTCCCCAGCACTGTTCCCATGCCCCCAATTCCCCAATAAAAAAAAAAAATTACTACAGGTGTTTAAACACTTTGGCTATATGGTCTAAATTTTGCTGTAGACAAAAAATGGGTGGGGAGGGGCAAGGGAAAGTTAAAGGAGGAATCTATTTTACTGCCCACGAATTCCCATGAAGGTGAAAAAAGAGGGATAAATATCAAATATTTCATTTATCCTTATCCTAGTTTTACAACAAGCCCCAAACCAGCTGATTTACTCTCTAATGACCCACCTTTGAAAGACATAGTCATTTTTTTTTTTGAAGTTTTATTGGGGAACAGTGTGTTTTTCCAGGATCCATCAGCTCCAAGTCAAATAGTTGTTTCAATCTAGGTGTGGAGGGTGCAGCTCAGTGGCCCATGTGGGAATCAAACTGGCAACCTTGGTGTTATGCGCCTGCGCTCTAACCACCTGAGCTAACTGGCCGCCCTAGTCAGTAACTCTAAAAGTCTTCTAAAGCAATGTTCCAAGCTGGTTGATCAACAAATCCCTTGGGAGGCTTTCAAAAAATGGAGATTCCTAAGTTCCACAGAAGTACAGGTCTGGGAGTCCATATTTTTAAGAAGGTACCCAAATGAGTCTGATAGTCAAGCTTTCAAAATCAACTGTTCTGAGGTATGACCTAGAGCATGGTACAATATTCACATACCAAATACTTCTGAAATTAATTGAAAATATTATTATTTTTCCATTTCACGGTTACTAAAACCAAAGAAAAAATGTTTTTCCCCCATAACTCAGTAATTACAAAACAGTTTTTTAAACAAATTATTAGAAGGTAAACGTAAACATCTCAGCTTCAAGGAAAAGTATTTGATGTTAAATTTTTCTTTTAATCAGAGATAATTCAAGTGATATACCTTCCTAAGCACAATATTAAATAGATCCTCATGGTCACTCTTTGGGTCTGTTGTCAGTTTTCTGCTATTAAATGTATGTATATTCCCTTCAATTCCTTAAAACTTTGTAGGTATCTCTGGTTAGTTAACTTATTTATGTAAAGTGCTAGCTAAATCACCCTGTACCTTTCCCCAAAGTGATTACACCAAAAAAGAAGCAAACAAAAATTTGTGTATATAAGTGTGTGCACACACACATGCAGTCACACTCATATAGGACAATAGGAGCGCCTTTCAGTGGCTCATAGCTCAAATTATACCACACAAACTAATATCTTCTTCACAAATTTAAGATGACTTCTGACATACCATGGAGATGAAAATCATAATTATTATATCCTAATTTAACTCATTTTAACCTTCTGTTCCTCTTCTCTTTCTGGTAGAGACCAGGAGAAAGAAAAAAATAAAGGAAAAGGGAAGAAAAAGAAAATCTTAACCCTCCCCGCCCCTACTCCTAAAACAACTGGCTATCACCAAAGTTGCAGCAAAGAAACAGAATGACTGTCTAAGAAAGAAGAAAAAACTGAATAAGAGAAGAAAAAAGAAGCAAAATAATAGACAAAAAGAATTATTAGGGCCAGCCAAGTGGCGCGTTGGTTAACAACTGGCTTGGGATGCCAGAGGGCCCCAGTTCGGATCCCACATATGAGGGCCAGTGACACTGCCCTCTACAGCTAAGATGCTGAACGGCAGCTCGACCTGGGGCTGGGCTGCCATGGGTCGCTGGCGATGGTGTAGGCTGCAGCACCTACTGCAGTGGGTTGCCATAAGCTACCATGTGTAGCCGGCAGCCAGTGTAAGCGGCCAGCAGCCGCCATGAGTGGCTGTCCAGAGGCCAGTGACTTATCTGCCTCGCCCAGGAAGAGCGCAATGATGGTGCCAGCTTGAGCCAGTGAAGCCACATCCTCCACAACTAGACTGAAGAACAAAACAACAGCAACTTGTCTGTTCTCCTTCCCCCGATTCCCCAGCATTGTTCCCCTCCCCCAATTCCCCAATAAAATTAAAAATATATATTAGTAATTTGCCACTCTTTGAAATAGAATTTCCAATTTTTAATAAGAATGTATTTAATCAACATGCCACGTACCTGTAAGACTGCGTCCTCACCAAGAACAGGCATCGTCTTATTTTTACTTATTTGCTCTTTTCGATCCTCTCTGCATTTAAAACTAAGTTGAATCTCAGGAGAACATGAGCCTAGAAAGAAATGTAAGTCATTTATAACAGTTTTATTGCTCTGCTTTGCAATGGCCCAAGGACGTCATAGATACTGCAAAATGTCATTAAAAATCATTTTGTAAATCATAATTTCCTAACTGCTACTTTTATGTGTCAAGATTTTTAAATCATTAATTAGGAAGAAACACATATACTACACCCAATAAAATAATACTGACATTTCCTTGTTTCAGAATTAATAAATGTAAAAGATAGGTATAGAAAATTATACACACTTAAACCCCACTAGGAAGAATACTTTCTTTTTAAAACATTTCATTTTAAGTTATTTAAAAAAACTCATTTAAGTCATTTAAATCATGCATAATCCAAGAAAAGTCACTTTCTGTTTCAAGATGACAAATTGAGCCCATATTTTAATTTTCTTCCCTTCCCAGTTCCTAAAAAGAATCCAAAAACGATTAGTATTTTAAAAATCTGAAGCAGCAATGGAAAAAAAAGGAAATATACCCACTATAGATTAGAAGATGGGAATGAATTAAAGGGAAACCAAACATTAGTCAATAGCTTGTCAATCAATATAGGAAAAGGAGGGGCTCCTTCAGAAGTAACTACATGGATGTCTTCCATCAGAATCACTGAAAACCACCCAGAGCAGAGAAAATCCCACCAATGAAAGATGGAAGAATGTAAATTAGAAGCTTGCAGTGGATAAAGTCTCATATTTCACTGAGCTTGCTATAGGTTCCAAAGAAGCTTAGGATGAATGCTATAGTCAGCTACTATGCGTAGGAGGAGATCTTCCCAACCAGATATAGAAATGTACTAAAAGCTAAGGTTGATAAAATAATGTAGTAATGGCACAGAAGTATAAATAGTCAAACAGATCAGAAACAAAACAAAAAAGTGGGAAACAGACCTACATATATCTGGGAATTTAACACATAACAATAATGGTATTTTAAACAGTGGCAAAAAAAATAAACCATAGCACCAAGATAAGTTATTCAATAAGTGATTAAATAATATTGGGGCAATTGGTTAGCCATTTGAAAAAATGAAGTTAGAGACCTATCTTCCCATATGGCAAAATAAATATTCCAAAGAGATTAAAGATGTAAGTGTAAAAACTATAAATAATTGGAAATAAAGATAAAAGAAAATATTTTCATGGTCTTGAGGTAGGTAAACTATTTCTAGGTTTGAAAAAACTAAGAAACCCTAAAAGAAAAGACTGACAGATTTTGCTACATAAAAACTTAAAACTTCTGGGCCGGCCGAGTGGCACGTTGGTTAAGAACTGGCTTGGAATGCCAGAGGGCCCCGGTTCGGATCCCACATATGAGGGCCAGTGGCACTGCTCTCTACAGCTAAGATGCTGAACAACAGCTCAACCTGGAGCTGGGCTGCTGTGAGTCGCTGGCAACGGTGGGTTGTCATGGGCTACCATGTGTAGCCAGCAGCCAGCGTGAGCAGCCAGCAGCAAGCGTGAGCGGCCAGCAGCCGCAGTGAGCAGCCGTCCAGAAGCCGGCGACTATCTGCCTCGCCTGGGAAGAGCGCAATGATGGTGCCAACTTGGGCCAGTGAAGCAACGTCCTCCATAACTAGACTAAAGAACAAAAGGACAGCAACTTGTCCGTTCCCCTTCCCCCAATTCCCCAGCGCTGTTCCCATCCCCCAGTTCCCCAATAAAAATTTAAAAAATCTTAAAAAAAACACCTTAAAACTTCTGCAATACAAAATATATCACAAATTAACAAAAGATAACTAGAAAAAAAGATAACTAGGAAACTGGGTAAAACTATTTGTAACATATAGATAACAAACTTTTGTTATCTTTCATATGTAAAATGATCTTATAAAACCTTTAAAAGCAGAATACATTCTTTAAAAGCAAACCTAATTTTAGCTAACTAGTCTAATAATTTAAAAAGTATGCAAATGTGTAAGCATTACAATATTCATATTTGTTAAGAGTATTGAAAACTATTGAAAATATAGTCAATTCATTAAATAAGTGTATATTCACGCAAAGGAATAATATGTAGCAAATTAAAAGGCTGAAGTAAATCAATATAACAAGGAAAGAAATATACTATGTACAATAGTAAAATGTCAATTATGAAGAGAGGTATTTATATTGACATATGAAGCCTAGAAGAATATACAAATACTAAACACTGGCAGTTGTTGAGAGTGGAATTATAGGGAAGATTGGGGAATGGGACCTTTGATTTTCTACATAATAAATGTGTTTTTTAAATGTTTTGTACTTCTAATAATTTACAAAAATAATAAATGTCTATCCATTTGGAAAAGGAAACGGAAGCAAAAGGAAATAAAAGAAAAAAAACTTGGTTGAAATATTAAAACAGACCTCTTTTTCCTAGTAGCACTTTGTATATCATAAGAATATACTCTGGAGACCAATATTAAACACTGTCTCTTCCAGTTACAAGTAGGAAAAACTACTCTAAGATGAAACGTAATTTACCTTTGGGGTATCAGGTGAAATAATGTACAGTGAAAAGACTTTGTGAACTACACATAAAAGATCTTCATGGTGTTTAGGATACTTTTTCTTCTATTCTACACCCATATCCTGTCATTCTCCAAAATGAAAAATGCTTACAGGAAGAAATAAGAAAATACCCTACCATTTAACAGCTACTGCAGAATCAATCTTTTTGAACAGTATTAATTAGATTTTTCTAGAAGCATTTAAATTGACCTTGAAGTGGACTCAGGAAGTATGGAGAATTGGTAGGTGAAAGGCACTTTTTAAGATATATATAAACAGACGCTGTGAGACTATGTTAACTAGTGTATGTTAACTAAACTATGTTAACTATCATTTCACAATACCTACAAATATTGAATCATTATGTTGTATACTTGAAACTAATGCCAATTATATCTCAATAAAAATGAGAATAAAAATGAAAATATATACCAAGGATATTTGTACCTTAATTTTGTCTAAAAGAATCATATTGTGGTTATTTAAAAATATTATTTACTTTTGTAAATAGGCAGGCTCTAGAGTTAAACTGGAGGTTTGGTGGGGAGACAGAAGAGCTGAGTACTACTTCCATATCTCTGCAGCCCTCTCTAGGAGACATAAATATCTTCCAGGAGTTATAATCTACATTGCTGTCCTTATAGTAATAGATAGATCTTAACAGACCTTAAAGTCTATTACAGATGACTATAAGAAACTAACTGTGTAAAGATAAAGAACAATGCTAAATATAAAAGGAGAAGTTAATGGAATAATAAATAACACTTGGGAAATTTAAGGGACTAATTAGCAAAAAGAATTATTTCTCACCTTTGCATATTCCACTTGTACCAGGATGGAGGCTGAATTCAGATCTAAGAGATGTGTCTTCAACAATGAGCAACCTTTCAAGTACCAAAAAAGAAGGTACAGATTGTTATCATGTTTCCGAAACAAAGATTAACAATTTAACTATCATTTTTTTTATTATACCTAAACTTGCTAAAATTCTTAGAGCACTATTAATATTTCTATAGCAAAGTATTTTTTTCAGAACTGTACCCTTCAATTAAAAACTTATCCAAGATGAAAAATACTTATTCATATGGTCACATTTATTTTTTACAACTATTCTGTTATTTTTTAATATGTGAGAGTAAGAGACAAATATCAATAGTTTTTGAATAGAGGTGAGATGATTTGAGGGACAAGTGTTGGTGGGGTTTTTCCTTCATATTTCTCTATGCCACAGAGAATTTGAGATTAAAATCCCAAGGTTAAATCTGAATGTATATTTTCCTTTAATCTTGGATTCACTTCTTACTATGTTCTAAGCAGCACAAAGATAACAAAGAGAGATGACACAACACGGTCCTTGCCCTCAAGAAGCTTCAAATCTAGTGAAGGATACAAAACTAAGAAATAGTAATGATACGCCATGGTCAATATGCTACTAGGCAGACTTAACTGCTTATATTTTCTGTTTAGAAAACCTTTAGAATTCAAAAATGGGTAAAGGACTTGAATAGACATTTCCCCAAAGAGGATATATAAATTACCAATAAGTACATAAAAAGATACTCCACACTATCAAATACTAGGGAAATGCAAATCAAAACCATAGTGAGGCATCACTTCACACCCATTAGGATGGCTACGATAAAAAATAAACACAAAATAACAAGTGCTGGCAAGGATATGGAGAAACTGGAACACTTGTGTATTCCTGGTGGGAACGTAAAATGCAACAACCACTGTGGAAAACAGTAGTATGGTGGTTCCTCAGAAAATTAGACATAGAACTACCATTTGATCCAGTAATTCCATTTCTGGGTATGCACACAAAATAACTGGAAGCAGAGAATTGAACAAGTAATTGTACACCCATATTTATTGAAGCATTATTCACAAGAATCGAAAGGTGGAAGCAACTCAGGTGTCCTTCGATGGATGACTGGATAAACAAAATGTTGTACATATATACAACAGAATATTACTCAGCCTTGAAAAGGAAATACCGATATGCTACAACATGGATAGACCTTAAAGACATTATACTAAGTAAAATAAGCCAGACACAAAAGGACAAATATTGTATGACTCCATTTATATAAAGTACCTAGAGTAGTTAAATACATAGAGACAGAAAGTGGAATGAATAGTACTTACCAGGGGCTGGGACCAGGGAGGAATGGGAGTTATTATTTAATGAGTAGACTGTCAGTTTAAGAAAATGAAAAAGTTCTGGAGATAGTGGTGATGGTTACACAACAATGTGAATGTACTTAATGCCACTGAACTATACTTAAAAATGATTAAAATGGTAAACTACGTTATATCTCATATTTCACCACAATAAAAAAAAATCCTTTCCAGAATCCAAGAATGTAACAGTATACTAGGGCATGAATACATGATTTGGTACTAAGGGTTTTTTGTTGTTGTTGTTTATTATTTACTTACGTGTTCATTTTACTTTTTTACAGAAAATGACAAACACCAACCAAAAAAAAAAAAGTGACAATAGTATACTCATCATCTAGGTTCAACAATTATCAGTACAAAATCTTGTTTCCTCTATAATCCCTCTGCCAATCTCTCTACCCCCATGTTGGTCTCCCACAGGATTATTTTGAAGCAAATTCTGGACACTGTATTCCATTTGATCATATTTCAGTATGCAACTCTAAAAGGACTCTTTTCAAACATAACTGTAATAATCACATCTTTAAAAATAACCAGAATTATCATACCTAAAAAGAGCCAATAATTCCTTAATATTATTAAATTTACAGTGTGTAATAAGCAGCCTCTGAAATGGCTTCTGGCATTTATGTCCTTGTGTAAACTCCTCCCTTGAATATGGACAGGATCCAGTGACTCCTCTAATGAAGAGAATACAGCAAATATGTTGAGATGTTACTTCTGAGATTATGTTACAAAAAGACAATGGCTTCCATCTTGCTCTCCCTTTCTTATCCTCTTGCTTTTTCCCTCTCATGGAAACCAGTTGACCGTGTTGTGAAATGCCCTGTGGAGAAGCCTATGTGGCAAGAAAGTTAGGGAGGCCTCCAGTCAACAGTCAGAGTTCAACAGCCAGAAAGGAACTGAATCTAACCACCACCATGTAGGAAGTGGATCTTTCTCATGAAGCTTTGAGATGAATGCACCTTATGAGTTCTGAGTGTGATGACCCAGTTAAGCCACTCCTGAATTCCTGACCCACAGAAACTACAAGATAATAAATGTTTATTGTTTTAAGATGCTAAGTTCTGAAGTTGTTATACAGCAATGGAAAACTAATAAACAGACTGTAGTCACACTTCCCCAACTGTCTCTGTTTACAGTTGTGTTCAAATCAGGATCCAAACAAGGTGCACACATTGAATTTAGTTGCTATGCCTGTTAAGTCTCTTTTTAAATCTATAAATTACCCCCTACCTCCCCCAACCCTTTGCAACTTATTTGCTGAAGAAACTGGGTTGTTTTTCCTGTAGTTTCCCACATTTTGGATTTCCTGATTGCAAGTCATTTAACAGGTTCCTCTGTCCTGTATATTTCCTGTAAACTGGTTATTAGATTTATAGGTTTGATCTAATTCAAGTTCCGTTTGGGAAAGCATATGTGTACTTCCTTCAGGAGATAATAAAGTGTGGTGGGAAAGGTAATCTTATGCATACAGTCATTGAACGCCATCTCAGCCTTGAGCCTGGAAACTTTCTTACTAAGAGATAGAGTCCTCTCAACCTGGACCTATCACCTTGTATGGGAATAACTTCCCCTGTTTCAGGCTCAATGTATTACTCCTTTGTTCTGTTTAAGCATGTGTGTCATATGGTACCTGGTCAACCCCACTGCTGTATCTGTCTTCTGTGGGAGAGGATGAAGCCCTTCGTTCTGTGGCACAGGAGAGGTACATGCAGGTCAGTGGCCCCACATCAGCTGCAGAGAGTGACTGCTGGCCAAGGGGAACCAATTCCCACTATTGAAGCTGATCTTGCTCTGTCTTTTCTCTATGTAAGTCAAGTGTGGTTCCAGCCAATGCTTGGCTGCATTGTGTTTTCCTTGGTGACTCCAATACCAACATGTAATAGGCAGAAGTGTCTGGATTTCTACTCTGGGTGACAAGCAACAGATGCCACTTGCTCAATAGTATGGTTGTCACTCATTTTGTGATATTAGTGACCATTGATGACCATTACCTAGGTCTACTATTCATTATCAAGAATATATAAGGTGTGATAATCTACTTGATCACTTTCTTCATTTATTAATGGAAATACTTCATATTAAAAGAAAAACTCTCACTCATCAATTATGCAATTACTTTCCCTCAAGCCATATTACTCAGCCAGGTTACTTAGGTACAGTTTGCATAGGAAAAGCAAAATAAATGCCTGCTTCTTTCTCTTTCTTTACCAGTTTTCAGAATATTGAAATAAGTTTCTAAAGTCCATTACAAATCATAGATTTAAATCTACTGCTGTTTTTGTTCTTATCAATGCTCCAATTATCCTATTTTTAGCTAGTGGGAGTCTCTTCAAAGTGGCTCATGGGTTGTTTGACATGAGCCCACTTGTTATGGACTAAATTGTGTCTTCCCCCACCCCCAGAGTCATATGTAGTAGCTCTAACCTATGTAACTACATTTGGAAATAGAGCCTTTAAGGAGGCAATGAAGGTTAAATGAGGTTATAAGGGTGGGGCCCTAATCTAAAATGACTGGTATCTAATAATAAACTAATAAGAAGAGAAACCCAAGAATGCATGCATAAAGAGAAAACACCATATTGAGGACACAGTGAGAAGGCAGCCATCTACAAGCCAAGGAGAAAGCCCTCAGGAGAAAGCAACCCTGCCAGCACCATGATCTTGGACTTCCAGCTTCTAGAACGGTGAGAAAATAAATTTCTGCTGGTTAAGCCACCCAGTCTGTGGCATTTTTGTGGCCGCCTGAGCAGACAAACAACACTATTAATGTTCCCTGGCTTCCCAGGATAAGATGTTCCCGGCTCATCTTATACATCTCCTCCCTTAGACCTAAAACTGGGTATTTCTCATGAAGCCTTGGTTCCTTTAAATGGGATATCATATTTAGAGTTCATAATATTAATATTTACCATTAATAATGTAATTACTAGTAAGAAGTTATTTTGCAATTCTTTGTTTCCTTGGAGTATATCTCATTTGGAATGTATACCTAAATTCTATGTTTTAAAAGCACTTAATTCCTTTTTGTGTAATTATGCTACCAAATCAATACATAATTAGGTTCATTTGTTTCATCTTGCTTTTGCTTTTTAGGAATTTTTTTAAATGTTGATTTAATTTTGTCTTATAATTACATAAATCATTTACATCATTCCAAAGACAAATGTATAAAAGATCTATTTAGAGAAGTTTAGCATCTATCTCTGTCCTTCATCCACCTGTTCGCTCCCTCCCCATTTTTAAAAATTATATCGGTTAGCCTTCCAGGAGGGAGTGGAATCAAATATTCAAACTACTGAAAGAGAGAAATTACCAGTCAAGAATAATATATCCTGGAAAGTTATCCTTTAGATATGAAGGAGGATAAAAGATCTTTCCAAATATACAGAAGCTAAGGGAATTTTCCACCACAAGGCCTGCAATATAGGAAATACTGAAGGAGGTTATTCTACTTGAAGCAAAAAGACCAAAGGATATAAAACTCTGAGTGAGATTACTAACAGACAGAGAGAAGCAAGAAATGGCAACACTTACACAGAACAGGGCACTATATACTTAATCTTAACATAAAGGACAAAGAAGATAAAAACATAAATAAAGAAAACTAGAAGAAGACAATTTGGTACTGGAACTCAGAAATGAACTCACAGCACAAATAGGGATAATTTGTGACAACAAAAAACAAAAGGACTGAGAATAAAGGTATAAATTTGCAAAGGCGAATGAAGATAAGATACATGCTGACGAAAAAGGACTACTGTATATATAAAACCTTCTTTTACATAAACTTAATGGCAACCAATCAAAACAAATCCAGAACTGAGATACATAACATAAAAAAAGAAGAAACAGAGGAAAAAAAAATCATAGACCACCACCAAACTAAAATAAGACAGAAACACAAAGGCAAAGAAACAATGGAGCTACCAGAAAACAAAAGATAAAATGGCAATAGGAAATCCTCATATATCAATAATCACCCTAAATGTACATGGACTGAACTCACCAATAAAAAGGCAGAGTAGCAGATGGGATAAAAAACAAAACCGAACCATATGCTGCCTCCAAGAGACACATCTAAGCTACAAGGACAAATATAGACTCAAAGGGTAGAAAACAATACTCCAAGGAAATGGCATCCAGAGAAAAGTAGTAGCCATTCTTCTATCTGACAAAACAGACTTCAGAATAAAAGAGGAACAAAAGACAATGGACAGTTTATAATGATAAAGGGAAAATACAACAAGAAGACACAAAGACACAACACCTATCAATATGCTCTCAATCAGACAGCACCAAAATATATAAAGCAACTACTAACAGAACTAAAGAGAGAAACTGACAAAAACACAAATATAGTAGGGAACCTAAATACACTGCTGACAGTTATGGATATATTATCCAAACAGAAAGTCAACAAGGAAATATCAGCCTTAAATAACACATTAGGCCAAATGGTCATAATTGATATCTACAGAGCCTTTCATCCTAGAACACCAGACTACACATTCTTTTCGAGTGCACAAAGAACATTCTTAAGGATAGACCATATGTTGGGACACAAAACTAGCCTCAGCAAATTTAAGAAGACTGAAATCATACCAATCATATTCTCCAACCATAATGCTTTGAAATTGGAGATCAACTGCAAAAAGAAAGCAGAAAAAACTACAAATATGTGGAGATTAAACAACATGCTACTAAAGAACGACTGGGTCAAATAATAAATAAAAGGAGAGGGGTGGCCGGTTAGCTCAGGTGGTTAGAGTGCAGGATCATAACACCAAGGTTGCCGGTTTGATTCCCACATGGCCCACAGAACTGTGCCCTCCACAACTGATTGAAACAACTACTTGACTTGGAGCTGATGGGTCCTGGAAAAACACACTGTTCCCCAATTTAAATTTCTAAAAGAAAAATAAAAAATAAAAAACTAAAAGGAGAGCTCAAAAGATACATTGAAACTGGGCCGGCCGAGTGGCACGGTAGTTAGGAGTTGGCTTGGGACGCCAGCTCTGAACAGCAGGGCCCCAGTTCAGATCCCACATATGAGGGCCAGTGACACTGCACCCTCTACAGCTAAGATGGTGAACAACAGCTCAACTTGGAGCTGGGCCGCTGTGAGTCGCAGCGACTGTGTAGGCTGCAGTGGGGCTGACTGGCAGCTGACGTGGGCTTTCTTGAGCTGCTGTGAGCTGCAATGGCGGCCGTCCAATGGCCGGCGAGCGACTGCCTCAGCCAGGAAGAGCGCAATGATAATACCAACATGGGCCAGTGAAGCGACGTCCTCCACAACTAGACTGAAGAATAAAAGGACAGCAACTTGTCCCCCTCCCCGATTCTCCAACACTGTTCCCCTCCCCCAATTCCCCAATAAAATCTTTTAAAAAAAAAAAGATACATAGAAACAAATGAGAATGAAAATGCACTGTATGAAAATTATTGGGATGTGGCAAAAGCAGTTATTAAAAGAGAAATTTATATCATTACAGGCCTATCTCAAGAAACAAGAAAAATCCCAAATAAACAACCTAACATTACACCTTAAAGAACCAGAAAAAGTAAAACAAATGTAATCCAAAGTCAGCAGAAGGAAGAAAATAATAAAAATTAGAGCAGAATTAAATGAAATACAAAACAAAAAGACAATAGAAAGATTTAATGCAACAAAGACCTGGTTCTTCAAAAAGATTAATAAAATTGACAAACCCTTGGCTAGACTCACTAAGGAAAAAAGAGAAAAGACACAAACAAAATCAGAAATGAAAGAGGAGAAGTCATGACAGATACCACCGAAATACAAAGAATCATACAAGAATACTATGAAGGGCTATATGCCACCAAATTCAGTAACCTAGAAAAAATGGAGAAGTGCTTCGAAATATATAACCTTCCTAGACTGAATCGCGAAGAACTGGCACTTAAAACCCAAGAGAAAACTTGCCTCTCTAGCTAAAGGACACATACTCTGAAGAGTTATGGAAGAGAATCTTATTTTCTTCTTTCTCTTAACACTTTGCCCTGAAGGTGGCCCAGTGGCAGAGATCTGCTCTACAGTGAGAACGCTAAGCTCTGAGAGAAATCTGCCTTTCTGGTTATATGAACCAGCATGTGGGTAGAGGGAAGGAAGGGTGCATGAGAATCCTGAAGGAAAGAGAGCAGGAAAAGGGAGTAACCTAATTCTGTATATGATCCAACATAAGTCCCGGGCTCAACCCTGAGCTGTCCACATGCAGAGCAGATTCAAAGAAGCATAACAAAAGGCCTAGAGAACTGAACTACGATATCAACTACTGCCCAAGTTCCAAATTTACTTGAGTCAGACAGACTCAATCAGCACAGTAAAGGCTCTGAAAATTGGACTGATGTAACCACCACCCACAGAAGGTAAAACAGGGTGTGCAGTCAGAACCTAAACAGGTTGAAAGCCTGTCAAAACAAACAAAAATCAACACCCTCTTTAACAGAATCAATAATTCAGTACATAATATTCAAAATATACAGGATATAATCCAGAATTACTCAACATGCAAAGGAAAATCTAATTCTTGAGAAAAGATAATTAACAGATGGCCCCCATGATCCAGATGTTGCAATTATAGGACAAAGACTTTAAAGCAGCTATTATAATAACATTGACATTCTCAGCCAAGAAATAAAAACTATAAAAGAGAATCCGATGGAATTTTTAGAAGAGAAAACTGTAATATCTGAAATTAAAAATTCACTAGGTGGGCTCAACAACAGAAAGGAGATGACAAAGGAAAGAGTCAGTAAACCTGAAGATAGAGCAATAGAAATTATAGTCTGAAGAATTGACAGAAAAAAATTAATACAGCCTCAAGGATATGGAAGACAATAAAAAAAAGGTCTAACAGTCATGTCATTTAAAGTCCCAGAAGAAGAGAAGAAATTGCTACAGAAAAAACTATATGAAGAAATCGTAACAGAAAACTTCCCAAGTTTGGTGAAAGACATAAATTTACAGATTCAAGAAGCTCAGTGAACCCCAAACAGAAAAACACAAAGAATATCATGCCCACACACACATCATAATCAAACTGCTAAGAACCAAAGATGGGGAGAAAAAAAAGGAAAGCAGACAGACTAAGCAGGTATATTACATAGATGGGAATAGTGATCTAAACTGGGAAGGGGTGGGGACTTGACTACAAAGGGGCAGCACAAGGGAAGTTTTTGTTTTGTTTTGTTTCAGTAACAGAACTGTTCCAGGTCTGGAAACCTGGGTATCAGTCTCCTTATCTAATCAATCATCACCTCGGGCCAAATTTACTTTCTAAAGATTTCTCAAGTTTGCCATTTTCCCTCCATCCCCACTGTTTCTTCCTAGTTGAGCTCTTATCATCCCAGTCTGTGACTACTTTTATCCCAAAGCTAACCTTTATAGGCTTGATTTGCAAAAGCTGATCCCTACTCTAAAAGTTAACAACTTTAACCTGGAAGCTTGGTAGAAATGCAGAATCTCAGACGCCACCATAGAGCTCCTGAATTAGAATCCACATTTTAATGGGATTCCGGAGTGATTTCTAGTCCCTAGACTAAGGCATGCCAGAGTCAACTGAAATCTGGTTATGTTGTCCCTCACTTAACACCTTACAAGCACCCTTCCTGGACACAGGCAGACAGATGAGGTCTTGCAAGACCTCGCCTTCCTTCCTCTCCAGGTTCATCTTTCACCACTCCCCGCCTCACCACTTCACACTTCAGTAAGACTTTTCCCTAAAGATAGTACTGAGAACTAGATATGTTCAAGGTTTTGAGGAACTAAACTACCATCTTTTTGAGTCATAAAACTATCCATTTGCAGTTTGATAGTCACCGGTTCTCCCATCACACCTTCTTTGCCTTAGAGAAATTATGCTAACCACCTCCTAGACCCAAACTGCCAGTTGCTTGAAGCAAAATGTATTTGAAGAGTTCAGACCCAAGCCTTTTTTGCCTGTGCAAAAGGATTTACGGCCCCAGGCTAAGAGAAAAAGCTTTTTTTTTTTTTAGTGCCATAAAGCCACCTACTATAAAGCTCAGTTTGCCTTAAGTTGGGGGGTTTGGGCTTGTTTATTTACAACTGCTTAGTTCAGGCCGGGCTGACCCACAAAGCTCTAATCCTGCCCGTGAGCCTAAGTTCGGCCTGTAAGAATTTCTACTCATCTCTCAAAGGGGCCACTCGGCGCCAGCAACCAGCCCTAATGGCGGCAACTTTCTTCAACACCGAGAGTTAATGGTGGTCACCTTCTCCAGGGCAGCTCCTCTTCCTCCAGGTCACTCTCCATCACCGATCCCTCGATCACCGTTTCATCACTGTCCCAGTCTGGGGCCTGGGCGCCTTCCTCCATCTTCGCCTCAGTCTTTTTTTTTTTTAGTCCTCCTTCTCTAATTCTCCCCTTCACAGAAAAAGAAAAAGAAAAAAAAAAAAGAAAAAGGACTTTCTGAGGACCAGGGAAAATTGCGAGTTGCACATAAAATTTGCGTCGACAGCGGAACTTTGCACCGCGGGCTGAGGGCGTAAAAGAACAGCCAGACTCGTCCCCGGGTAGGCGGTCCCTCTCGGCCGTCTCGCCGCACGCCGCCGGCAGGGGGAGCCACGCGCCGCACGTCGGAGCCGCGCGCCGCGTGCTCCACTCCCCACGCCCCTACCCGGCTCCTGTGGCCGGAAGTGACTGGCGGTGCGCCAGTGGTTCTGCATTTCCTGGCTGTGTCGGGCGTGGCTTGCCGCCGCTTCTGCTTTCGGGTTCTATTCGCATCCTATTGTTGGCTGGGCCTGGTGAGGACAGGGGTTGCTGCCGGTGGGAGCAGAAAAGCAGCGGTGCCGCAGGCAGACCGCAGGCGGAGCCCGCCTAACGCCATTGGCAATGCATCTGATGCTTGTGAGACCCAGACCCCGAAAGAACTCTCAGCTCCTCCGGGACCCAGCAGCCCCGGCTCTCAGCCCTACATTCTGAAATCATAATGTTACCTTAGACCCAAAGGGTGTTTTTGCAGTCCACCAAATACTGCCTTTCTCCTTAATCCCTTTGACACCCCCTCTCCAAGTGTCCCTTGAGGTAGGCAAAACAAACATGTTTATCAGAAGTTTTTAGATCACCAACTAATCTATTTCATGTGTTTTGTATTTGTGTTTTCACCCCATCAGCTCTCTGGTTACCCTGTAATACAGGTAGTGTGGGAAAGACAGGATAAATGCTTTATTTTCCCCTCTATTAAATTTTAATATAATAGTGGTGCCTAGTAACTTCCAAAAGTAGCCAATTACTATTTTTAAATGAATCTCTAGGTTTTTATATATTTGATGTCTTTCAACCTGTTTGAAAGTTTTTAATTCAAAGCAAAGTCAGTGAGCTCCACATGCCAAATGAGAGGAAGATTCAGGGTAAGACAGAACCCCTTCCACATGGCAAGTGTTTAGTATTCACCTTGTAATTTCCAGGGTCCAGCACATATTGGGTCTTTAAAGGTTTGTGAGTAAATGGATAGAACTGGGGCTTTCTAACTCCCCAATGAGCTGCTTTTTTTCACTACATGGAATGGCTTTGCCATTATTTTAATTTTACTATTTAGATCATATTTTTTTCTAAAAAATATCTGATTCTTTAAGAAAATGAAGGTTCTTTTTTGAAAATATATTTTAAAATACTTATAGAATATTTGGTGAAACACTTTATATGGCTTTTTTGGGGGTGCAGATATTACTAGTTGAAAAGTGGATATTGGGTTTACCCTCTTTGAGATTCATGTTGCGTTAGATTTATCATAATAAATCTTCCATGAAAGTCTCATCTCTCACAGCTCTGGATCTAAAGTAACCTGGAGAGGATATAAATGATATGAAGCTATAAGCAAGAAATAATTTTAATTATGAAGCAAAACATATTGTGTAACCACAAAATAATAGGACTTCTCAAATCCATACTTTTAAGCAAGTCTCATGTTATATCTTATACATATGCTACTTCCTAGTGCTCAGGACTCATTTCATACCAACTCATACTCCCCAGCTCTAGGCACACAGGCCGCCTTGTTCTTTTCAGATGTCTTAGAGACTTTGCACTTAAGTTCATTCTTTAGGTCTTAGGTCAAATGTCACCGTCTCAAAGAGGCCATCTCTAACCATGTTTTCTATCTCAGCAACTTATTTTTTCTTTCAAGCACACATCACTGAATTATATCTTTATTCATATATTTGTTTATAGCCTGCCTCATCCATTAGAAGGCAAGGCCAATAAGGGAAGGATCCTTAAAATGGGAGTTGAAGGTGGAGAAAAGGTAATATGGAAGCAATAGTTCAAATCTTAAAAGTATAATTTACATAAATAAATAATACATAATAAAAATATAAATTTTAAGTGGCTTTGGACTGATGAGATTGCCAGAATTACACATGGTAATGGGAACTTCTTTGCGTGTAACTGAAACAGCCTGGTAAATATGTTTAGACTACCGTATTAGCAGGTCTGTCAATGTAGAAAAAGAGACAAAAGTCCAAGCCACAAGAGATTAATTAGAATTTTGATGTAGTAAAACAAAGCAGTTCAAATACAGATATACATATCTTCAGGTAACCACCACTTAAAATAAGGTAAAGAATATTTTCGTGTTTCCTGCCCTTCTTCAATACCTACCCCCAAGCAAACACTTTCTGATTTCTATCATGTAGAGTAGTTTTTCTATCACTTTCGGAATGATGCTGTATGCACTATTTTAAATTGCCTTCTTTTATTGGGTTTAATGTTTTTCAGATTATCAAGTCATTCCTTTTTATTGCTGAGTACTATTTCATTGTATGAGCACACCAGATTTGTTTAGTACATTCTTCTGTTCATAGACATTTGTTATTTCCAGTTTGGGGACTATTATAAATAAGACTGCGATAAACATTCTTGTTGAAGTATTTTTGTGGATGTATGTTTTCATTTCTCTTAGGTAAATAAATACCTAAAGAGTGAAACTGCTGGGTCATATGGTAGGTATATGTTTAACTTTATAAGAAACTGCCTTTCAGTACTCCAAATGGAATACCAGTCCTACCAGCAATGTATGAAAGCACCATTTGCTCCATATCTTCACAGACATTTGGTATTATCAGTCTTTAATATGTTAGCCATTCTGATGTGTGTGAAATAGTATCTCATTGTGGTTCTAACTAACATTCTTCTAATAGCTAATAATGAGGCAGGTTAGTTAGTATAACATCAGGCAGTCAGGAATTCCCTGGTAGAATGAGCTGAGCAGACAACAGTCATGTCTTCAAAACCACAGCCTCAGCAATAAGAGCCCAAACCTTGAGATAACACTCTTCTGCCAGAGCAGAGTCATCAATTGTGCTCTGGGACAAGCCTCAGTCTCAGCCTTGAGAGCCCCAGCTTGGAGATAACATACCTGCCAGAGCAGAGTCATCAATTGTGCTCTGGGACAAGCTTCAGTCTCAGCCTTGAGAGCCCCATCCTGGAGGTAACACACACCTGCCAGAGCAAAAGCACCAATTATGCTCTCGGACAACTGGGCTAAGCAGCTAAGCAGCGGGAAAAAACCTCCTCCAGACTGAACTACAGAGCATACCTGATGAAACTAACAGTAGGCACCTGCTTTTCTCCCCAAATTTACTAGAAACAGTATCAAAAACAAACGCATTTCTCCTTAGCTAGTAGATATCCCAGTTTCGGTTACCCTCTTTCACTCAAGAGCTGTAACTCTTTGCTTTAATAAAACTGACCTTTTCTGCAACCTTGCCTCTCTGGTCTGGGCATCCATTCTTCGGTGCTGCGTACACAATCAAACACCCTACATCAACGATACTTAACTTCTGTGTGTTTTTTAGCCGTTTGTATACTTTTGTGAAGTGTCTGTTCAAATTTTTTGCCCACTTTTCAACTGGGCTGTTTGTATTTTTATTGTTGATTTGTAGAAGTTCTTTACATATTCTGGCTATGATTCCTTTATCAGATATATGTATCATGAATATATTTTATTAGTCTCTGGTTTGCCTATTAATTTTTAGTAATGTCTCTTGATCAGCAAAAAGGTCTTAATTTGGATGATGTCCAATTTATCAACTTTTTCTTTTATGGTTAGAGCTTGTGTTAGTTTCCTAGAGCTGCCATAACAGATTACCACATACTGGGTGGCTTAAAATAACAGAAATTTATTATCTCACAATTCTGGAGGCCAGAAATCTAAAATCAAGGTGTTAGCTGGGCCATGCTCTCTCTGAAGTTTCTAGAGGAGAATCTATATCATTCCTTTCTCTTATGGTGTTGCTGACAATTCTTGGTAAAATATAACAGAATAATCAGTGAGTGATGATTTTGTGTGTGTGTGTTTATTGCCTTTATTTTTAGTATGATTTGTTCGATTATAACTTTATATACTTTAATTTTTAATAGTGACCATATTTAACAACTGACTTGCAAGTTCCTGAAAATTTAAGATTTGGCTCTTAACAAACTAGTAGAAGCTGACTCCAGTACACCTTTGACACCATCCTAGAAAGAACTTTCCTGCTTCCCTCCACCCATCTCCCTGTTTTCCCCACACTCCAATCCTGCAGGGGTCTGGTTTTGTCCTTAGCCAAGGGGAGGATGAGAACCAGGAAAGAAATAATAATTTATAGACTAAGTTTTGGAACTCTCAGTTCTCTCAAGTGTCCTAATTGGGGGAAGTGAGTTAGTCTTTCATTCAACAATATAGACATTATAATAGGAAGACTGTAAGAGGTGGAAGACTGAAGGGGGTCAGGGGAGAAAGAAAAATAGAAGGTAAAATGATTGTTGAAGGAGAAAGGTGACAAAGCAAAATAATAGCCACGCTAGTTGGGCTTATATTAATTGTGATCCTGTTTCCTGGGCATAATCTACCTTAACCAAGTCTTGCCAATACTGGTTGACTACTAGTTCTTCAACCACATAACTGGTTTGTAAAATGATTAACTGGATTTCAACTTTGCACTGCCATAAAGAAATTATGTTATTTTTCTCTTTGTTAGGATGTACTACCAGCTGAAAAGCCAATTCTGGTTTTATGGCAAATCTGTGCCTATGCCATGATGTTTTCAGTCTTTCTACCTGGAATATTCTCTCCCTCTTCTCTGTATGGAAAATTGCTCAATCTTCCTACATTTCATTTAATGCTTTCCTCTACTGAACCACATCTCCTCTTTCATAAGCATGGTCCACACTATGATATTTTAAACCAAGGGACACACATTCACATTTTTTCATAATAAAGATGATGGGAGGAGAGACCAACCCTCACCTTATAGTGTAATTATGCTTTATCAATATTTAACTCTAGCAGTTGTCATATAGCAGGGAACATATCATGCTGCTTTAAAATAAGTGGAAGTGCTAAGCAAAAAATGTAAAAAGGTTAACCTTTAAACACAAGGTACTCGAACAACTGGGTATCCATACGGGGGAAAAAATGAACCTTGTCCCCTATCTCATTACATACACAAAAAATAATTTGAGGTAAATCACAGAACAAGCATCCTATAATCAATCCAGTGATTTGGCTACTAGAGAAATCTCTGCATATTGCTACCAGGACACATGTACAACATCATTCATAATAGCCCCAAAATATAAACAACCTTAATATCTTTCCTTGGGAGAACAGAATTAAATGTTCATCAGGAGACTGGATAAATTGTAGTACATTATATAATGGGATATCTTATGGCTGACAAAAGGAACGAACATATCAATACAGATGTTTTAGAAGCCATCCTTTCAAAGTTTAAAAACAAAACTCAATAATATATTATTTAGGACCCATTCATATGTGGTAACATTCAAAATAAGGGGATAATTTAAAAAGAAAATTCAGGGTAGTGATTACCTTTCTGGGAGAGGCAGATGAATGGCATAGGGAAGAGTTCACTGGAAACTCAAAAAAAGAATTGGTAATGTCCTCTGTCTTGAGTTGTGTAGTGTCTACTTTGTTATTACATTTCATAGCTGCCATAGAGTGTTTGTGTGAGCGCGTGCGCGCACACACACACACACAAAGTATATATATGCATGTATAGCATATACAATATATATATAATTGAACAAAGTATACACATACTATATATATAATATTTTATAGTTTAAAAAGTATAGAAAAAACTGGGAGGGAAAGAAATATGCTAAAATGCTAACCCTAAGTGGTAGAGTTCCACTCAGTGGAAAAGGAACAGAAAAGTTGCTGTTCTTTTGTTTTTCACTCTAGTTGTGGAGGACATTGCTTCACTGGCCCATGTTGGTATCATCATTGCGCTCTTCCTGGATGAGACAGATCAGTCGCCGGCCTCTGAACGGCCACTCACAGTGGCTCTTGGCAGCTCACACTGGCTGCTGCCCGCTCACACTGGCTGCCGGCCACACACGGTAGCTTATGGCAGCCCACTGCAGCAGGGGCTGCAGCCTACGCCGTCGCCAGCAACTCACGGCAGCCTAGCTCCAGGTCGAGCTGTTGTTCACCATCTTAGCTGTAGAGGGCAGTGTCACTGGCCCTCATGTGGGATCCAAACCGGGGCCCTCCTGCTCAGAGCTGGCGTCCCAAGCCAGCTCTTAACCAATGCACCACTTAGTCGGCCCCTGAGTAATTATTTTCTTCATTAATGTACAAATTGTCTACATTTTCCTAATTGCTTAAATGGTAATGTAATACTTTTATAAACAGAAAAAGGTAATTCTTAAAAATAAAAATAAAAAATTTAGGATGCCTAGAATGCTTGTACTGTTTTTTTGAAACCTGAGTTGAAAATTCAATCAAGTTTCAGATGCCCTGGGAGGGATAATCTGTAAAGATTTAACATTGTCATTTAGGCTGACAGGTAGATGTCAAAATGCTAACACTCAAGTTTCAACTATGCCAACAATGCCTTTTAAATATTCAGTCCTCCTTAATCAGTTTTATTTTCTTCCTCTCTATTGAAGATAGTTCCTGTTTCTGTGTTTAGGCTACTATTTTTATTATTTCGGACAACTCTTCAGTAGCTCAGAAGCCTTGGATGAAAAACAAAGATTGCTTTTTCCACAGCCCTTTGGCAACATCTTGTGAGTGTCTAAAGACCAGTCAAGACAAACATTTCCTACATAATTAAAAGAGCACCAGTATTGATGGTAAATCTGAATTAGCAAAAAGTCTTAAATCCTTAAGACAAATGTAATATCTCCTGTGGTTAAATAACTTTATATACATGGTGTGTATATAAACACTTAAGATAAAATATAGCTGGCATTCCCTCATCTAGCCTGCTGTGGATGTAAATAACATTTGTTACTACATTATATAATGGGCATTTTCACGAAGAACCGTATGAGAGGTCCTAAGCAAGAGACCAGAGCGGTGTCAAAATTTCCAAAGCAAAATGGAATAACTTGGGTAGAATGGCATCTGTAAGAAACAGAAATTTCCAGGAATTTAAGTAGAGAGGAAGAGAGAAGAGAGAAAGGAGGCAGGGAGTGGAGAGGGAGCACAGGAAGAAGAGAAGACTAAAGCAAAATCATGAGAACTTGGAGGTTTACAGATAATAGCAGTTCAGTTATTGTTCTCTTAACCAAAAGGTAAGTTTCTCTTAACCCCTCAAGCCTGTTTGAGGTACCCACTCCCCCAAAGATCTTGGCCATTTTTCCTTTTGATTTGCTGCATTACCTCTCCCATCTCATTTTCACTAGAAGCTCTGGACCTAGGTGGATGATGGGTAGTAGCTGGTGAGTGAGAGAAAGAAAGCATTCAACTTCAGTCTTTAGATATAGATGAAGAAAGCATGGTTGCAAACCCTCAGGTCCGCACCAAAATTTGAGTCCTAAGAAAGGTAGTTCTCTCCCTAGAAAGCTGATAACCCATTCCTAAAAATAATTTGCATTCTGATTTTTACAGTATAAGCGGACACTCTCTCAATATTATCCAGTAATGAGGGGCGGGGGGATGACCTGAGATCAGGCACCCTGGGCCCTTCAGCTGCACTACTTCTTAATTCTATTACCTTAGAAACTTTCTCTAATCTCACTCCGCCTTAACTTTTGTAACTGCAAATTAGATAGAGAGTAATCTGGTCCCTGCAATTTTCATAGACATTTCTCTATCATCAATTAACAATTATTTATGAAAATGCTTTTACTCATGGAAAAAATCTATAAAGTCTAGATAATAATATCAGCATTCCCATGCACACTTAGCAAACAAATTCTTGCTATCAACATGTGCTGGGTTCCACATGAGTTAGGAGACCTAGTTTTGCAATCTGTGACCATTTTTGTTCCACTTTGGATTGTGGGAGGCAAACAGAGACACTCTTGAGAAATTCTTGAGGCAGTATTGCGGGGAAGCAGCAAATATAAGTAAGGTTTGGGAAAGGGAGGACTTGTCCTATCAGATATCAAAATGTATTTTAAGCTCTATTAATTAAAATATTGTGATATACTGGAGCAGAAATATACAAATAGCTCAGTGAAAGAGAATGGGAACCCCCCCA